GAGTGGGGCCTGAGGACCAGTGCCATGCTGCAAGCTGCCCTTTCTGGTCCCTACGACAAGATGAGTGCAGAAATTGAGAGGAAGGGCTCAGAAACTTTTATAGCAATCTGACAGTATGTATGATTTTGCGTCAGGTGAATCTAACAAACACTTGGGGCCTTGATGTCTTCTTAAATTTGTTTTCCTAGGAATTGATTTTTATTGTATTTTGCACAAGTACTGATCTGTGACAGATCGGAGGTCGAGGTCTTTCACCACTGATAGTTTGAGTTGTACGGGTTTAGCTCTTGTGGTTACATTGGTGAGCAAATGTCAGGGTCTTCCCACCCACCTGAGGGGCTCAAGACATTGTTGATTCAAAAAGGGAAGGTTAGGGACTTTTTTTTTTTTTTTTTGGTCTTTTGTTAAACTTTTCACTGTTGCTCTTACAAACATTTCTTTCTGAACATCTCTTCCACTGTTTAAGAAAAGCAGCCTCCTGTGAAGGTGAATTTTGCTGTGTCTCCTGCAGATGGGGTGCTGAGATGCAGTGTGCAGGTGGCAGCAGGCTCGCGGAGGCCACTTTTAGCTGCATGCCAGCACCTGCCCCGGGTGGCTTCTCCCGCCCCACCTCTGAGCCAGTCCTTCCAGCCTGGGGGTTCTGTCCCTCCACCTGGGGGAGGGATTATGCTTGCTGAGCTAATGTCTGGGAAGTGTTCTGGAGTTCCCGGAAGGAAAAGGAGAGGCCGCCCACTTGTGATACCTTGCGCTAGGGCAGGAGAGCTACAGGACAGAGGGGAGGAACCAGGAAAAGAAAATCAGGAATTGAATCACCTCTCCACTTCACTGCAGTCCCTGGGGTCCGCCTGCTCTAGTGGCCTCGAACTGCTCTCCAAAGTGGACATCTTGCCATGTGAGGGGGAGAAGGAAGCCGCTTGCCTTTGCACCTACCTGGAACTTCCTCTGGGATATCCACAAGGCTCACGCTCACTCTCTCTCCTTTCTCAAGTCTTGGTTTAAGACTTGAAGTGTGGCCTTCGCTGTGACGCCTTCCGTGGCCTTTCCCCAGCACACTGTTTCCTTTACCTGCTGTATTTGTTTCCATAGCACTTATCATCCAGCTCCTCAGTCATTATTCATTTTGTTGTAATATAATGTAATTAATATAATATCATCTATTAAAATGTAAGTTTACAAGGGCAAGAGACTTTGCCTGTATGGCTCACTGCTGTATCTCCAGAATCGAAAACAGTGCCTGACACATAGTAGGCACTCCATAAATATTTGTTGTGTAAATGAATGGATGAATAAGTGAAGGGGCGGGATGACAAGGGAGCCAGCTGTGTCCAAGGAGCCATTCGGCCAGATCCATCCAACTGTCCACTGAGTGATCGAATTGGAGCTACTGCAAGGGCAGAGTCAAGGGGAGGTGACCAGCGTTTAACCAGTGCCTGCTGTATACCCAGCAGTGTGGTAGGCGTCCTAGGTTCATTATTCAATGTAAGTATCAAATTACTACGTGAAGTATGTATGGTTAGCTCCATTTTACAGGTGGGGAAACTCAAGAGGTTAATAATCTTACCCAAGGTCACCCAGCCCAGTAAGTGGCAGAACTGCGATCCAACTTAGTCTATCTGATTCCAAAAAGAAATTTGAACATTTCCAAAAAAAGTCAGTGGATCACAGTGCCTCTTGTCTTTTTGCTTTCCTGCCTGTAAAATGGCGATTAATTTTCCTCATCCTTCACCAAATTTTTATCTGATGAGAATGGAAATCTGGGACAGTTGAAACACAACTGTTAACAAGATATGAGCTTTGCAAATATGGGGCTGAGAATTAGATCGCATTATTGAGTAATGTTCACAGATAAGTGAGTGGAAATCAGAGCTAGATTAAATCCAGCCAGTGGGGATGAGTGGGGTTTCTATGCAATGCTGCGTGCCAGGCACTGGTTTCAGTAGTTTATTATTCCAGATATTTCCCTAGGCTGAGACCACAACCTCCAGATTCAGCATATTATCTTTCACTTAGATATATTTATGGAGCATCTACTAGGTGCTTGGGGTAGACCAGTAGAGAGTACAAAGTTCCTTGCCCTTCATGGAACTTCTGTCTTAGTAGGGAGAGAGAGGTAGGAAATAAACAGTAAGTAATAAACATACGTAAATATACGGCAATAAAAAATAAATTACATGGTATATTAAGAGATGGTAAGTGCTATGGAAATAAAAAGTAGTGTAGGGGAAAGGGCTTGGGCGTTCAGGGGGGAGGTGGCCAGATTGCAGGTTAGATCAAGTGGTCCAGGTGGGCCCCGTTGAAACGGTGCAGTTTGAACGAAGACCTGAAAAAGGCAAGGGAGCCAAGAGGTACCCTGGAGGGAGAGCAGTCCAGTCCAGAGAAAAGGCAGAGAGAGCAGCGCTGAGATGGGCTCCTGCCTGGTATATGTGGGGAACAGCCAGGAGGTGAGCTGAATGGGGGGCTACCCTGACGGTGGAGACACTGGATATCCCGATGGTTGGAATATGGGAGATATGACAAAGTGAGGAGTCCAGGATAAGCCAAGGTTTAATCTTTATATTCTTTCACTTTATTCCCTTTTGATTACCTAACATAACTCAGTATTCCCGAAAGTATTAGCATCAAAGTCTTTGGAGATTTAGCCACTATAGTTGTACTCCTCTGCAGTGTCTCTGGATTTGGGTTTCTTCAGCTATCACATGGAGGGAATCTAAAAGATAACTTTCAGATCCCTTGTGTGACTGTTTCTGAAAGATTCCTTTTTAGGAGTCATATTCCGATCACTGGCTTGCTTCCCTCCCTCCTTCGTTCCTCCATTTATTCATTGTGGGTCTTTAAAACATTTGCTGGGACAAGAGCACTTCTTGGAGCAATGTACGTGGAGGCTGAGAAGGGAGAAAACGAGAATCTCTGCCTTTCAATAGCTCATTTCTTCTTGCTGAGGTTAGATAAGAGTGCAATAAGCAAGGTGAGAATTAGAGCAAATTAGCAAAATTCAAATAGTATAGAAGCAGCAGCCGTGGAGGTAAAGTGGAATAGTAAGTTAAAGGCTTGAGTGGAAAAAGCATGTGGATAGTTTGGGAGCATATGCAAGTTCAGGTTCAGGGAACCTGAGAAGGGTGGGAGCATGGTAAAGTGTGCTTGCGTGCTCCCGGGAAAGGGGCCGAGATGTGTCGATGAAGCTGGACTGAGAGGGGGAGGGGGTCTGGTGGAGAACTGCGCACGGGGGCCAGAGGGATCTGCTCTGAGCAGGAGGAAATCTGAAGGAAGGGCTGACATCATGAAGATGGACTGGAAGGCACTCACCCTGGCTGTTTGGTACTCTAGGAACTAGAGCAGGGGAATAAGGAGGTGAGAAAAACAGCCCAGGAGACTGTTGAATTACCTCTGGATCCTGATGTCTGAAATCGTGACACCACGCTGGTCTCTTCTCTGGCTGACAATTTTGATCAAAATTCTGGGCATTAAGGTGGCAAAGAAAAGTTCATTAAACACAATCTATTTGAAGAAAAAAAAAAAAAACTATCCAAACAAGGAAATGAAATTATCCAAACAAGGAAATGAAATTTTTCCTATATTGTGGATCCAAAGTTAGAATTGAACTAAGACTACTTGCAAGAGTTTTTGTGAGGAGCTCTTAAATTAAAAAAAAAACAAAAAAAACCTCCTCCATCACTTGTCTGTGAGCCATTCTGGAAACAAAGAACATCCCCAAATTGAGTTCATGGCCAACTTTATTTCTCTCCATGCAGTTGTAGTTGTGTGATTTGCACACTTGCTGCATTCATACATGTGTTTATTCTAATGGTTCAGCTGGGCTTGGATGATGGCTGCAGTAAGCCTAAGAAAGCTCCGCATTTCTCCACTCCTCTGTTTCTGATTATATTTCATAATGTGTTAATATTTGCAGGCTAATCTTTTTTTTTTGAAATCTTTTATTTTTATTTATTTATTTTTAACATCTTTATTGGAGTATACTTGCTTTACAATGTTGTGTTAGTTTCTGCTGTACAACAAAGTGAATCAGCTATACATATACATATATCCCCATATGCCCTCCCTCTTGCATCTCCCTCCCTCCCACCCTCCCTATCCCACCCTCCCTATCCCACCGCTCTAGGTGGTCACGAAGCACTGAGCTGATCTCCCTGTGCTATGCGTCTGCTTCCCATTAGCTATCTCTTTTACATTTGGTAGTGCATATATGTCAATGCCACTCTCTCACTTTGTCCCAGCTTACCCTTCCCCCTCTCCGTGTCCTCAAGTCCATTCTCTATGTCTGCGTCATTATTCCTGTCCTGCCCCTAGGTTCTTCAGAACCCTTTTTTTTTTTTTTTTAGATTCCACATATATGTGTAAACATACGTTTTTCTCTTTCTGACTTACTTCACTCTGTATGACAGACTCTAGGTCCATCTGCCTCATTACAAATAGCTCAATTTCATTTCCTTTTCCGGCTAATATTCCATTGTATATATGTGCCACATCTTCTTTATCCATTCATCCGATGATGGACACTTAGATTGTTTCCATTTCCTGGCTATTGTAAATAGAGCTGCAATGAACATTTTGGAACATGACTCTTTTTGAATTATGGTTTTCTCAGGGTATATGCCCAGTAGTGGGATTGCTGGGTCATATGGTAGTTCTATTTGAAGTTTTTTAAGGAACCTCCATACTGTTCTCCATAGTGGCTGTACCAATTCACATTCCCACCAGCAATGCAAGAGTGTTCCCTTTTCTCCACACCCTCTCCAGCATTTATTGTTTGTAGGTTTTTTGATGATGGCCATTCTGACTGGTGTCGTTTTGATTTACATTTCTCTAATGATTAGTGATGTTGAGCATCCTTTCATGTGTTTGTTGGCAGTCTGTATATCTTCTTTTGAGAAATGTCAATTTAGGTCTTCTGCCCATTTTTGGATTGGGTTTTTTGTTTTATTGATATTGAGCTGCATGAGCTGCTTGTCAATTTTGGAGATTAATCCTTTGTCAGTTTGCAGGCTAATCTTGCACAACTATTGAGGGATTCTCAGGACCGAAATAAACGTCTGGGAGAAGAAATTAAAGAACTTCAGCAAAGGCTTGGAGAAGTCCAGGGCGACAATAAGGTACCGTGAATATTTAAAGGCAAAAACCTCTCCTGAGGAATTTTGTGCCAGAGGTTTATGTATGGTGCATCAGAAGAATGTAATGCAGCATTTGCGGAAAAATTTGTTATAGATTTTTACATTTGCAATGAAAATTCACAGTTTAGCATTTCTTATCTTTATGACCTTCCCTTCGCGTGTGTGCATGCACACGCGTCTGTGTGTGTTTCTGGGTTGCTCTAAAGTATTGTCACAACCCATTGTAGAAGTTTCATTATGTTCAGCTTGGTGCTGAATAACATTGTGGTTGAGGGCAGAATAAAACCCAAATGCTATACTTTCTCCTTTCTATACAAATAATGGATTTGTGGCTCATGTGATTTGGAATTATTCACATTCAGTTTTGAATTTTAAGTAGTCATCCTACTAATTATGTTCACATAACCAATTTATTTTATTGCTAAATTTGGCAATTTGTATGGAACATTGCTCAAAATCCACTGCTTGGTATTAATCAAACTCCCCTGTTGGCAACGTTAATTATAAAATATGAACTCATAAACTCCAAACTAAATGTGAGCACTGTCTCTCCCAGCTGAAGCCGTGAACAAAAGTACAATTGAGAAGAGGAAGAAAAACTACCGATGTTTAATTCCATTGCCCCCAAATAATTTCCCATTTTGCCAATAGATTCAATTTCAACTTCTTGGCAGAGCCAGCTTTCCCAACAGGGATGGCCTTTGGAGTTTCACTCAAGCAAACTACATGGCGGGGAGGAGGTGCTTTCTTGGGCAATGTCTTTTGAACGGTACCAAATTCCCTGGCAAATGATGGGGATGTTTGTTGTTCCTGGGAGTCACTGGTTATTGGAAGGCGCCATTTTGAAAGATGCTCATTCTTTAAAAAAAAAAAATGTATGGAAGTGTCTGGATTATCTCGAGAACTCTTCCATGACAAAGAGCAGAGAGGATTGTGTGCTTACTGCTGGTTTAAGGGGCTCAATCTAAGGGCGTACTGGTGGGACTTCCCTGGTGGTCCAGCAGTTGAAACTCCACACTTCCACTGCAGGGGGCACGGGTTCGATCCCTCGTCGGGAAACTAGGATTCCGCATGCCACGAGGTGTGGTCAAAAAGTAAAAAAAAAAAAAATAAGGGCATACTGGGAAGTCTTCTTTACATAGCCTCTTGTCCACTTAGTCTGCCTTTAAAAAAATTTTTTTTAAACCTCTTGGATTTAACATACTATATTTGAAAAATATTTCATGACTGTTCTCTGTCATGAAATAGGAAGTGGGCGAGAATGCTAAGACGGGTGCTAATTAACCCTGGACAAGCTAATCGGGCCTCTCAAAAGGATTTAAGCTCTGTAACCTAGGTGTTTGGTCAGTAATTAAAGGCCAGGCCTTCTTAGGTGTTATCAAATGATAGCATCAGGGCAGGGTTTTCTAGAGAGTAAAACCAAGTATATGCAATCATTTCCTTTTAAACCCATAAAAATACTGCAGGAATTTTGGAGAAGTTATAAATCCAGAAAATACTGAAACATTTTGAGATGTGATTTTTGGAGTCATGATTCTTCTTGACTGATTTTTTTCTTCTTATTCTTTTCTTTTCTTTCTTATTTTCTGAGGGTCCCCCCCCCCCCACCTCCAACTGTCCTAGACACATCTCTGCCTCATCTTTTGGTCACTTTTAATTGTATCGCCTTGTAGGCCTGAGATATTTTAGGAATTGACATTTGCAACTGATATTTCAAGGAAAGAAAAGGAGGGTATGTGCGCATGAGTGTGTGTGTGAGCGTAACGCTAAGCGCAGGTCTGGGGCTGCTTTTGCATTGGCACCACCTGAGCTTCATGATTTGCTTGCATTCTGGGTCTCTATTCCCGTAGCTGGACACATTTATCAAACTTGGTTTTCGCACTCACGGTTTAGAATTTAGTGACTCATATTCATGGCCTGTGAAGTAATTTGCCTGCCAGCAGATGCAGGCAAGATGTGAAAACGTTCAGTAGACCCTGTGTCTCAGTCTCCAGTCCTCCTCAAAAAAGACCAACTGCAGTGAGCCCCAGAGACTCTGTTTATTCTCATTTGCATCTAAAGTTATAGGGCTGGTTTATTTTCATCCCCCTGTGAGTCACGGTCCTCCTCCCCCCGCTCCACCCCCAGTCATCAACATTAAGGCCGGATGACTCATTCAGTAATGACACCAGCCATCTCAAGAAACACAGAGGCCTCTCTTGAAGGGTGGCTGTGACTGTGTGGTGGAGAATGGGTTAACCCTTCCTTTGCTCTTTTATTCATCGTGTCACAGCTCCAACCTTTCCATCGCCTTCGGAATCTAAGTCCCACCTCCTTACCATGGTGTGCTTGGCCCTCCGTTATCTGGCCCCTCCTGATTTTTCCAGCCACATCTGTTGCCATTAGTCGCCTCACACTTCACTCCTGCAGGACTAATTTCAGCCCCCCAGCTGAGCCATACTGTGTTGTGCCTCAGGGCCTTTTGCACCTGCTGTCCGCTCTCTGGAACACTCTTCCCCTTCACTTCTGTAAGCTCCCGCTCACCTTCCAGGTCATAGGTCAAATGTAGCCTTCTCAAGCTCTCAGGGGCAGGTCCTGCACACACACCCACAGTGCCCTGCTCTTTTCGCTCTGCCTGTACTTGTTTGGCACCCCTCCCCCAAAGGTAAACTCTTTGCAGGCCAAATTCCTGTATCCGCAGGAATTTGCATCTTAGTTCGCGATGCACAGACATTATTTAATAGATCTTTATTGAAGGAATGGAATAGGATAAATGAATGAATGAGGGAATGAATAAAGGGAATGCAAAAAGGTTCAATAAAGAGGAAGAGGAAAAGAAAAAGGAAGAACACAAGAAAATAGCAGACTGACTGCCCCTGTGGTTGTCATCACTAACTCTCCTTGCGGGGTAAGGAGTAGTTTAGAAACCTGGAGAAAGGAGTTAGAAAAGCAAACTATTCCATCGAAGAAAAAGCAGAAGAAAGCCAAACCTAAGGTGTGAGACCTTAGGAAGCCCCTGGAAAGGTCAGGGGGTCTGATGCTGAGCCTTAGTAGATGTGGGGTAAGGGTCCTGCTCCTAGGCTGGCTCAAGCCTGTTAAATTCAATAATACTTAATAATGGATGTTGTGGGATTCCTAACTCCCCCCATTCCGAACAGAAGGGCTTGTGGCATCACTTTATGAGCAACTATTAAAGTGTAAGTTTTTTATCTCCAAGTTGTCATTTTTAACTGATGACCCTTAGCCATATTTTGGGAAGCCCAGATTCTAGATGTTAAGAACATTTAAGAAACAAGGTGATAGGAAATTACTTGCCTTGGCTATTTTAAGGTAGACTAATTTTTCCATTTGTTCAGCTAGAGCCTTGTAACCCTACGTGCCGTAAAGCATTTTCAAACAGCCTCTTGAAAGATTTGTTGCCACCCTGTCTTACAAGCAGCTTAGCACTCACACAGGGTTGGAGGTGGAGGGTGGGATTCCATGATCAACAAACCTATTTTCTCTCTGAGAAGCACCCCAAGAATTTCTTGAGGCTTCTGGACAGACACAAAGGCCCAGTTCAAACCAGAGGAGAGGTGGGAAAGGGGAAGCCTAATAGACACCCTCCCCTTCCTTGCTAATAATAGCTCTGAAAGGTTAAGGGGGGAAGGGAGAACTCACACCTCCACAGATCACCCTGGGGAAAGCTTTTCATGAGGGTGGATTGCCCAGGGTTCTTTGTGTGGCAGTCTGTGAGGAATAAGGACCAATTATGTGGAAAACCCAGGCAATGCTAGGGCCTCAAGTGTGGAGAGCAGCCCACCCAGAGAATTACAGCTCGCCTTCTTGCCCCAGAGGGATGCCTGCTTCCTCTTCTGGGCATTAAGAAAAGAGTGGATTTAGGGAAAGGGGACCGGGGCGGGGAAAGGAGGCCTCTGAGAACTTAAGGATCAGTAAGAGGCAATCCACAAAACTTTCAGAGCACACTTGAATCACAGATATCCAGAGGTGAGCTGGTTCACCTCCTAAGCCTTAACATTTAACGTTGTTTGATCTGTTAGGTTTTGGACTTACTTGAGACCTGTCACCCCTCCCTTCTTTCCTATTTCTGCCTTTTGGAATGGGAATGTCGCTCCTGTGTGTGTCCCACCTTTGTATTTTGGAAGCACATAACTTGCTAGGTTTCACAATTTCACAGGCGGAGAGGAGTTTGCCTCAGGATACATCTCATCTCGAGTCTCACCCATACCTGATTTAGATGATATTTAGATGAGGTTTTGGACTTTAGACTTAAGAGTTGATGCTGGAACCAGTTAATTCTTTGGGGGTTATTGGGATAGAGTAAATGTATTTCACGTGTAAGAAGAACATGAATTTGGGGGTGATCAAGGGTGGAATGCTGTAGACTGTGTCCCCGCCCAAAAATTCATATGTTGAAACCTCCTCCCCAGTGTGATGGTATTTGGAGGTGGGAGCCTTTGGGAGGTGATCAGATCATGAAGGTGGAGCTCTCATGAATGGGATTAGTGCCCTTATAAAAGGGACCCTAGAGAGCTCTCTCACCCCTTCCTCCGTGTGAGGACCCAGAAAAAAGACAGCCATCTATGAACTAGGAAGCAGGCTCTCACCAGACACCCAACCTGCTACCACCTTGATCTTAGACTTCCCAGCGTCTAGAACTATGAGAAATAAATGTTTGTTGTTTATAAGCCATGCAGTCGATGGCAGTCTGTTATAGCAGCCTGAATAGACTAAGGCAATCTCCACTTTCAAAAACACTAAAATCACTTGGGGCTCAGTGAGGCTAGATGACAGCCAAAGACATGTGACTAGGATCCGCAGATACAGGATCTGAACACAGATTACACCTGGAGAATAATAGCTGCTCCTGCCGCCAGCTGTTTTCCGCCCACTGTCTGTTGGGGAAAATGGATTCAGGCAAATGAAAACAAGAGGAGGGAGAGACTGCTGAGGGCTATGAGGGGTGAAGCCCAAGAAGAGATCAAGGAAGAAGCGAGTCATTC